CTAGTAGGTTGGAGGCCATGGCTATTAGGCTGGAGGCCATCGCTAGAATAGGTTGGAGGCCATCGCTAGAATAGGTTGAGGCCATCGCTAGTAGGTTGGAGGCCATCACTATTAGAATCAAGAAAAAAGAAAAGGAAGACAGGTATTTTTTCTTTTTGCTTTGAGGTTGAACGGCCAAAGCATTCATGTTTGCTCTTCCCTGACCTCAGGGTGACACGGTCCTCTGTGGATATCAAGGGCCCGGATGGACGAGAATACGTCCGCGAAAGCCTTGTGACTTGACGGAATCAAGTAAGTTTGCACAGCTCAGTGTGAAGCTGTGCACATTTTGCGAAATATATACTGTTAGCGAATCAGCATCTATGTGCAGGACGTGGGAATTCTTCTGGACAAAGTCGTGGCACGACATGCCTCAAGGGCAGAACTTCAAACCAGTAAGAGATCTCCGTCACAACTACTTTTGCTAGTGATGCATGGATGACGTTTAAGCATCGCATGCATATGATGCTATTGATAGGAGACTGATTGGAAATGCAATTGGGGCCAGACCGTTGAGAAGACCTCAGCAAATCACGAAGCAGATGTAAGGGTAGCCAATGGACTGGTGGATACTTGACAGCTCGAAGTCGCGGACAATTGTTTAGCCAACGAGTGAGGCCTAATTGTGCCTCCTACAAGGAAGAAAAAGTAAGTAGCACGCAAAAAACACATCGCAAAATATGAACGCGCAGCGGCACAGGCGCGGCGGCGGTTGGGCAGGAAAAGTATGCTTTGCACACTTTGCCGGCGATAAAACTGCGCATATGGCTAATAGCTACTGTCTGCTTACGACAGCATGAAAAAGCTAAGAGCATCTGTCTTCATCACAATTGCTCACATGTGACATGTGATTCACAGCTGCACGTGGCCTCTTCGAGCAGCATGCCAACGAGGGACATCGTCACGCACGCCACCACGTTGATGAAGCTCAAATGAATCATGAAGGGTATCTCACGAAGCCCATGCAAGGCGGGGGAAGAGTTCAGGCTTCGTGGCTGGCCAAACCACTGCCGGAGCCGAGCCGAAGCATAGCTTTCTGAGATGCCCAAGGAGACGGTTTTCTGCATCTTTTTGTGCTCAACGGAAATGGAAGTCCTTGACAGAGAAGAGTTCCTTGATCTTCGACCGGTTGGGTCAAGCTCTGCCATTTTCCATGGGTCGGCAGGGACGTTTGGGACGTACTCCAAGGTGAGTTGGCGCAGGGTCGGCATCGTCTCCACCTGGTCCAACAATGATGAGGCAGTGATCCTTGAACCTCTGCGCATCCAGCGTCATGTGAAAGCTTGCCAGGCTCAGCCGATTTTCCTGTGGTCTGGAGCCAAATGCTGAAAATGCGATGCTGTCAAACACAGTTCCCAAAAATGTCTCGAAGACTCCAAGGTTTTTGATTATGTAGGAGCAAGGACGCTACTAGGGGCTCCTGGCTAGGAACAAGAAGCTACTAGGGGCTCTTGGCCTTACTACCAGCAGCAAGGACGCTACTAGGATTATGTATATAGCAACAGCATCTCCATGCATCTCCTGAAGCTTTCACGCTGGGGCCCTGACCCCTTCCTGCGTATCTTCACTGGCTCACCATCTCAGGTTACCACTTTACGCTTTTCATTTAACCTGGCACTGTGAGGCTAATGATCTCCAATCACTGATCACCCACCAGCATTGGCATTGGAATCTTGCAACTGCAAGCATGTAAAATCGCACTAGCTTTAACCACCCGAGCGTCCCCCGCAGAACAGCAGCTGCCTTCGATGTCCCGCTTGAGACCATGTCCAGCATCATCGGCTGACCCTGGCGCAAGTGTTGCTGCATGGCATCGCGCATGCAGCGAGCAAAGCAAGCCACAGCACGATGAAGGCCGGCACAAATTTCTAGACAAGGCTTTATATTGTGGGTTGCATGGGCTTGGCATGAGTTCTGAAAGACTCTGGATTCATCGTATATATTTCATGTGTCATCTCTGCTCCTGTGATTCTAAAATGTCGGCCCTTTTTAGGCTATCTCCACTTTCCAACCTCTGTTGCATCCACAACCTCAAGCGCGTATCAAACTGCAGCTGCCGGTTTGTCAAATACAAAGAGAGTTCTCCTTTGTCATTCAGCTGAAGGGACTCTTCGGATAACTCAGTGGGTTCGCAAAGATCTTGGAGGGAAGTTTCTGCAATTGTCGTCCGCAATGCTATGTCTATCACTTTGATCTCCCCAGCTCGACACAGCAGCAGCAGGAAGCCATGCTGAATGTGCATCTGTTCCAGTGGTTCTTTCAAGCGCAATGGTGGAAAAATTGCCATTCCGCTAGCTGAACTCAGCACGTGAACATGATGGTGCGTGGCGAATGCGACAAAGCCTTGACCCAGGGCCTTCTTTTCGATCTTTGAAAATTCCGAAGACCAAACGAGATGCCCATATCTAAAGGCATGAACACTTGTCCGCAGTTCACGTGTGATCGTCAAAACTATCCCACTCTCATTGTCCACGATATAGAGGATCTTTGGCTCGATCTTCTCCTGCGCGCCCTTCCAAAGGCACTCGAATTCAGCAAGTTCATCATGGGGGCTGTCCTCAATGTGAGAAACCGAGGACATCTCGCTCCCTGGGCTCTCTGATCTCTTTTGAGGCCCGACGACGGCCACAGCCTTCTTTGGGACGGACGTCTTCTCCCTAAGTCGCATTGCTCCTGGCCCCACGGGCTGCGACAGCGCGCGCTCCGTCGCTGAAGGCGCATGAAGCAAAGATGAAGCAATGGAACTTTCGGGGTTTGGACCGCTGTGGTTTGGAGCCTGCTTTATGAGCTCAGCGCTGCTAGCACTAGGAGCGCTCGGGCCAGGGTTGTTCAACTCTGCCAATGCTTTGGAAGCTTTCGCGGGAGCCTGGGGACTGCTCGCGGCCTTCGCCTCACAGTCGGGACGGACGGTAGTCGAACTGGATGTCGTCCCAGTCGGGTCCGCCATGGTCGGGTGGAAATCCTTCTCGATGTGGTCGGAATCGTCATCCTCGAGAAAGGCACTTGGCCGCTTGACTCGCTTCACTCCTCGGCCTGAGGCCCTTGAAGCCCTTGTGCCTTGGCCTCCGCCGGTTGGCGCTTTGTCATGGCCCTTGGTCCGGGCCATGGCTGAGAGCCAAGAATCGGTGCGAACACGACTGGCAATCCACGTGACACACGGCCAAACAACAAAATTGCACTTAAGATCACTCAAGAGGATAAGTGTTACTAATAGCGAGGGCCTCCACCGTAAGTTTAATCAATCCTTCAAACATGTGTGCAACAAACATTCAGCGATTGCAACGCAGCGAATACACCGACAAACCCACTCCTCGTCCCTGTGACCGTTGCTGATGGAGGGAGGCTTGTGTTGGTCCAAACAAACTCCTTCCAAAAGCAAATCGTTTGTGTGGACTCCAGGTGCATCGCTAGTAGTAACAAGAAGCTACTAGGAACAAGTGCATCGCTACTAGCAACAAGTGCCTTACTAGCAATACCAAGAAGCTAGTAGTAACAAGAAGCTACTATGTTCCCCTTGAAACATGGATTGCACGACCCTTGTTCGTGCAAACCACTCTTGCCTTCACCAAGTTCCTCCATCTTCGCTCATGGCGGCGCACGGCTCTGCGCGTGGCTCTCCACGCAAATGCTGAGATTGAAGTGTGGGACCTCTCGAGCCCTGCAATCACCAAGACATCACCATTTGAACCAAAACCGGCTAAAGCTCCAACAAAACATTACTCATCAAAGTATTAATCTAACGACTTGACTAGACTTGACTCCCTCTTTCAGTGATTCAGTCTTTCCAAAGTCTTGGGCATGGCAAAGTGCTTGGCCAAGTGCAAGATGAGGCCAGGACAACAGCATGGCCAATTCCCGAGAGTACGGTTCAACCTCGTTGGCGTTGTCTGTGAGAACATTCACGGGCAGAACATGTGCTCTCTTTTTGAGACCAGGCAGGGGCAGGGCGCAGGTACAAAGCAAAAGTGCATGCAAATTAGTCCAATGTTCGTGTGTCTTTGTGCGTGTGCGGAAGTATGGGCCCGTTTTACTAATCATACAATTTGGAATTTCTAGTTTGGTGGTTTCGCTTCTTGACATAATTTATACAGCGAAGGCAGGTGCAGAGCACAGTGGAGACTGCACCCAACGCAGCTATTCACTTGTCCTGGAACCAAAGCCCGATCAGCTCTGTGTACATGCTTGGCTCTGACTTTCTAGTACCTATTCGGTCCTGTGCTACGCTAATAAGAACAAAAAGACCCGTGTTTGCATCGGCTGTGCATTCTGCAGCCTTGCACTCGTCGTTCGATTGTGTTGTCGAGCTGGATGATGGAAACTGTTTGGGGATGGCTGGCCTCACTGCATTTGCTTTTTAATGTTCACATCCTCGCTTCTCTCTCACCAAAAATCCACCAATACTCGCATGATCTGATTTGACCTCTAAAATTTTGCTGCTTTGCTCGGGCAATATGTTCACCTCGGCCTTCGACGGTGGTAGTGCATGCATGTCGTACAATCATTATCTTGAGTGTGCGTTCTTGTGAGCAAAGTCAATTTTGAACCAAGGGGTGCAAGAGTGCTTTGAGCTTTACTATGCCTTACTATTCGGCTCACTGCATGGTCTCCAATCGAACTACACAACACAAAGAAGGAAGGTCTAAAACATATGGTTTAAAAGGAGCAACTGATGAAGTTATTCATTTCATCTCGTTTTGACTGAGACATGCTGCCGCATCGACACCCAAGGCTCTCATGGCTTTCAGGGCGCCCCAGCCTGAGGTCGAAGAAACAAGAAAAACTAACAGGTCACCTAGTCAGGTGAAATTCTGAAGTGGATAGAGTACACCTAAACCAAACATGTCTCAAGAAGCACAGATTCAAGATCCGTTTGGAAGCATTCTGAGCGGGAATAATATTAAAACAAGAAAGCATATATACCTTTTAAAACACGACCTGAACCATCTCCATTGTCCTTAACAATGCAGTGTATGTATATAAGGCAATTATAAGTCCAAAACATTGCCCCGTTGTGTTTGTAGAAAACAAGACGGCTGCTGCACTTCGATTCCACATACACCTCGTTGTACAATCAGTTTTTTTTTGGTCAACTCTTTTCTGAAATGGTTAGTGAGTCTCCATTGGCTAATGTTGACCTCATAACAATAAATGCCCCCTAAATAATGCTAAATGCTTCCAAAAATTAATAAATGCCCCCTAAATAATGCTAAATTTGTTGGGATCTTGTTTTTGGGGCTGACTCCAAAACTCAATATTAGTTTACTCTCAGCTGCTTCCAAACCTGATTCTGAGCTTTCAGCTGCTTCCAAATCTTGATTCTGAGCTCCAGGCATACACACCACACACACATCAGAACAACAACAACAACAACAATGACAACAAACCCCATTCCTAATAATACTAAATCTTTTCAAACACCAATAATAAATGGACCTCAAATAATACTAAATGTTTTCTGGACCTTGATTTTCAGCTGCTTCCAGACCTTGATTCATCCAAGCTGATTCTGAGCTTTCAGGTGATTCCAAAACCTGATTATTTTGTGGTTTCCTTTACTCTGGAATTTTGATTTGGCTGCTGCATTTTCCTTTTAAAATTGCTTATTTGGACATGGCAATTTGTAACCTGAAATCAACCCACAAAGACCACCCCCCACGAGCAGCCCAAACCTTCAATTACTCCAGACCTCAAATAATACTAAACAATCCCTGGCTGGTTCTTTTCGTGATGTCCTTTCCTTTCCTTTCATTGTCCTTTCAATTTCCTTTCCTTTCCTTGCATGTTCCTTTCATTTCTTTTCCTTTCCTTCAATCTCCTTTCCTTTCCTTTCCTTTCATTTCATTTCCAATTCAAATCAAGATTTTCTAGGAAGGGGGGGGGTTATTGTTTAGAGGTGGACATTATGGAATGATACAAACGCACACCAACCGGAACTGGGTGGCAGGAAGTGACGAAGTGACTCCGGGGATCCTGGCGCGCTGAAACTTCTTCACTCTCAAGCCCGGTGGCTAAATCAGCCGCAAAGTCGGCCACTGCCTCGGGACGATCTTCGCACTTCGAAGCCGGTCACTTGTAACCAAAGACAATCGTGGCTGTGAAACATGTAAATTAGCTGCATAACTTTGTCTTTCGATGCTTCATGGGACGCCTTTCGATGTAAAATATCTCTGGATGCTTCCGCTATGCCCCTATGCAGTCTTGAAATGTCTTGAAGGGTCGCACTTTGTCTTTATTATGCCTATGAGGCCCGGAGGTTGTCAGCGGGGGATCAACAACGTGCATCCTGTGAACAGCGTGACACAAGCGGAAGTTTTTCCTGTCAGTCAACCCGTTCAGAGCCAAGAAGCTCAAGCTTAGGAGAAGTGCCTAGGAAAATCAATTGTGATCTTCGGCTTTGTGGGTTTTATACGCTTTGTATCCCAATGTGATCTCCAAGGGTTCTTTGTTCTGAAGGCCGTCCTTTGTTTTTCAGGTTGCACCTCTTTCATTGCCTGCTCTGGTCCTGAGATTATCTATGCCTCAACCAAAGGTCTACCCAAGGGAATTGAAACTTCTTACTATCCTTACATCAAGTACTAGGCGAGGCCGTCTTAAGGAAAGGTCAGAGTATGTCTTAAGGTTACCGTGGGTCCTCGGAATTTGTTGGCCTTGCAGGCTTCAGTGGCGTCTGAAAAGGTTGTGTTTCCAGCTCTTCTCCCTTTGGTCCCTTCTGCACCTCCCTTAGCTCTAGGAGGCTATAAGTCTGCACTACCTCGAGGCAGTAGGTGATGGGCATTGATTGCCCTGCTTGATCAAAAGTGGCAGCTGCAAAGTCGCAAATATTCACGTAGAGCTTCGGGTTCAGATCATGGAATCGAGGTCTAGCGCAAAAGCTCAAGCCAGCAATCATATCGACAAAAACCTGTGCGACTTCCCACTTGCTCGCCCGTTGGGCAGCGCGCATGACCAAACTATACGCAATGTCGTCGGCTTCTGATCCAAGCTCGCCAAAGAGAACCAAAGCTCTCCTCCATTGAGCAGCTGTTGCTAAAACACTCATGCAAGAGTTGTAGGAGATTCGGTCAGCTTCAATATCGCTTGCTTGGCAGATCTCTTGGAAAAGAGCTTCAGCAATTTGCCACTGGCCGCTCTTTTCGCAAGAGCCAATGGCTGCGTTACAGGCTATTGTGTTTGCATCCAACAATGCGGTTTCCATATGCCTCAGGAGTGCAAGAGATTGCGGCCACTGCCCACTTTTCTCGCAGGCACTAATGGCCGAGCTGAAAGAGACAACACTGGGTTTGGAGATGTTCATGCACAGCTGCAGTATCAGCAAGGCTTGCTTCCATAAGTGGCTCTCTTGGCAACAACTGATCGCAATGTTGAAGCTGCGAAGGAGGCCTTCACGATCTTCGCCAGTCGGATTCCGCAGAGTCCTCAGACGTTCGACATGCTCTTCTAACAGGAGTACAGCCCGGTGCCATGCTGCTGAATGTTCACAAATCCTGAGTACTGTCGGGTAACTTCTGGTCGAAGGTTCCACCGCATCTTGCTGCAACTCACGCAACATTGATTCCGCACTCGCCCATGCTGAACAGCTCTGGATGGCCGCATTGTAGCTAATTACGTCTGCTTCAAGCTTCCGAGTAGGGAGCCCTCGCAACATTGCTGTGGCTTTTTGGGGCTGCTTCCTGCACGCGCAGATTGCAGAGCTGCAAGTCACTAGATCCAGCTTGAGCTCCTGATCATCCAAGTGTTGTACCAGTGCCAGTGCACACTGCCACCCTTCACAATCAGCACACACACTCACTATCGAACCGTACGTTACGATAGATGCTTCTCCCTGCGCTTCCCCTAAACCTTGCAGGAGTGAAAGGGCTCTTTGCCAGTGTGATTCCTCTTGCCCACACGAACTGAAAGCATTGATGGCCAAGTTGTAAAGCATGGTCCACTGCTTTGACACCATTCGATCCCTTGGCCTTTGCTTCCTGAGCTCCCCCAAAAAAAAGACTGCAGAGGACCAGGCCCCGCTGAAAGCACAAGCATTGAACACTGAACTCCAAAATATGTAGTCCGGCTGGACCGCAGCCGGAGCAAGCCGCCACAGAAGAACTGCTGTATGCCATGCAGTGTTGCGCAAGCTGCTTGAGATCAGTGATGAACATGTGAAAATATCTCCTTGCAAAGTGTCCTCCCTCAGCACCTCCAGCATACGAAAGGCAGCATGCCATGCGGCTTTGTGCGGCACGTTCTCCATTACAGACAGTGCAATATTGTAAGTCACCAGGTTTCTTTCCACATTCTTTGTTGCCATTTCCCCCAACAAGACATTTGCTTGTTGCCAAGCACCACTGGGCTTGCACGCACGTATAGCGGAACTATAGGCAATCGCATTCCCTTGTACATGAGTGTGGTGCAAAAGCTCCCGCAAAAGCAAATGTGCTAGTTCCCACTCCCCAGATGATGCGCATGCACCAATAGCGGCGCCAAAGGTCTTGACATTTTGGTCTTTGTGTGGAAGCCCGCCGAACACCCGAAGTGCTTGCTGCCAGTTCGTCGCCTTCCCCAGAAACTTGAGAACAGCGTGCGGTTGTTGATTGGGTGGTGAAGAGTGCGGCTTCATGGCATCGCTACTAGGAACAAGAAGCTACTCATGACTTGGAGAAACAAATCATACACGCCCCATGGGCCCCATGGCATTCATATACCCTTGGTCACGCAAACACGGAGATCCGAAACGGTCTGCAGATATTCAAAGAAATGGTTCACCGTTGCTGGCGGAGTTCACTCAGCTCCTTCGGTTCCTTCTTCTGGAGGAGTAGAAAATGCAAAAAGCCAAGAAGATCCAAAAAGAAACAAATTCAGTGGTCCTGTTTCCGTAGTACGAGGTAGTTGAGTTAATTCAGCAGTGTCACGTGGTGTGACATGAGGCCGCGGCCAGTCGTCCACTCAACGCCTCCAAAGCAAGGATGGCTGCCGCCTGGACATATGGCACCTGGACGGGGTTGCACGCAAAAGAGGCAATCTCAGTCAAACCAGAAGCACACCCGAGCAAATCAAACTCGACAGTTCCCAATTGTTTGGTGTTCCCGGTCCTTATCCTGGAGAGCGGTGAGCATCAGCCTCTTTCCAAAAGGAAGTCTCGCCTGAAAACAAACACTTCTTGATGCACTGTTGTCAAAGTTTGCTGTGTCTCCGGGCATGGCAGGATGACAAAACAAACAAGAACCAATCCGCCCCTCGTTGTCTCTCTCGACGATACATACAAACGCCACAATAACAGGCTCTAGGGGGTCCGAAAACCTAGGAATACAAAAGTATGTCAATAGTGCAAGGCATACGTTTGGCATCACCAGCATGATCAAACAACAAAATCATCAACAAGGATGTTGGAGGCTAAAGAAATGTGAAGCATCAGTGACGGTGATGAAATTGATTGGGCCATGAAAACTAAAAGTGTGCATTGTCTGGCCTGCTAGACAAGACTTAACGGAAATGAAATGATTGGCTTATCGAATTAAACCCCTCCAAAAACGCACATGTGTGGGTTGCGGAGCGGCGTGACGTTCGGGCGCAGAATCGCCCTTGCTTCAGGCCCTAACCTCCTCGTCTGTTGACAACAGGGTTAAGGCCGCTAACTCCCGGACATCATCGTCTACATCCTGCGCTGTCCAGTGCAAAGTAGTACCCATGCTTGAAAGACTCCAGAGCTTGAACGGCGCTCTTTTTGTAGCATCCTTGCTCCTAGTAGCGATGTCCTTTGCTCCTGGTAGCTTCTTGCTCCTAGTAGTAAGGCCAGGAACCCCAAGTAGCGTCCGTGCTCCTGTAGTAAGGCCAGGAGCCCCTAGTAAAAGAATTGGCTCAATTGACTACTTTCAACCAGCCTTCACGTGTCTGCAAGAGAACAAGCAAAGCATCAAGTTAAATGACAAATCGTCCAGCAAAGCGCTGCCGACTGTGTTCGCGTGCTGTGCATCCAAGCAGCCTGACAGAGAAATTGGCCCGTTACAGTTTGACGTTTGACTGCATCGGCTTCTGGAATGAAACTTGCAAAAAAGGGCTGCCTTGAACATGCAGAGCCTGCACTGCAGTTAACCTCAAAGGGTCAAGCCTAACCTGCCTAACAACGAAAAGCTTGGAAATCTTGCAAGATAGCTTGTACAAAAGCAGGTCAAATGAAGAACTTTTCTTTTGGTTGCTCCTCTTGCGCTACCACGCCAGACATGTCATCGTCTGCATGTCGATGGGTGAAATGTCACAACTGACCGTTTCTAATCGTTTGTTGAGGAAACATGAAATTGTTCTTTTCAGGCCCTTTGTTCATCTAGTGCACAAAGAATTGACATCTGCCCTTTCTGACAAACATGTTTCCAAATACTTCTAATTATTGTATGTTGCAGTGTGCCTTAGTTTGTCAATTGCCGACTTTGTGAGAGATGAAGCGGGCGGGCGGGGCAGGCATGCCGGAGCCTGAGGGGCCTCTCTTACGTCCCTAGGGAATTGAATCGATAAAAACATTTAAGAAGCAAGGTGCCGTGTACCTTTTCTCTTCCCTATTCGGTCAGATGAGCACACGCAACTCGATCTTCTCGGGGCCGTGCTTTGCAAATGGGTCTTTGTCCCGGCCTGATGGGAGGTAGCAAGTATAAGAACTGCTACGCAAGAAAATCTCAATGCTTTTATCAAATGTTTCAAGTGATGTCAGCTAATTATATAATGACTCGGTTTGCTCTGCTCAAGTTGGCCTTTTCGCTCAGCATTCAACGCTTCTCCGCAGCTAGCAAGTTGCAATGCCTTAGGCATTGCCTTGAAGCACGCCGAACCAGGCTAACACAGAAACATCACCCTGGGACAACGAAACGATGTGTTCCAAATTAACAGCTCCATGCAGCGCCTTCCAAGACTCTGCAGCTCATGCCGCTCTGGGTTTGAGACACCATGCGCCAATTTGACTTGCTGGACGCATTGCGTTTCACTCTCCTCCTTGCACCGCCTCCTCAATCTCTTCTCATTCACTCTTAATTGAGGCATTGAGCTTCCTTCCGTGAGTGTGCATTTGAGAAGATTGAACCTCAAAGGAGAACCAAGCAAAATCAAACTTGCCACAATGGACTTGACATAGAAACCTTCAACCTTTTGCAATTTCGGCACTTGCGCAATCAGCCAGCACAAGCCCGAGCCCCAGGCATGTTTTGCAGAGAACGTGTTGTATTTCCTCTATCGCATATGTGAGGTGTCGGACCTGGGAATGCCGCTGCATGGTCGACTGAATTCATTGGGATTCGATGATTCTGCCAGGGTGCCTTGAGCATAATTGCCACTATATCCCCTTTCCTCAGAATTGAATTGCCACTCAGCTCGGCAGAAGGCTTCATCCAAAAAGAGCTCCAAATATGTCATGCCAGGGCGCGACACATCACCACGAAGCCTGATGAATCAAGCTAACACGGATCTAATTGTATAGCTTGCATCACAAAACTCTGCCGATCGGAGATGTCAAACAGCCACTTAGACCACTTTCCAACCGGCTCGTCATGCTGATACAATACACCACAAAAGGCTCAGCTCTGAGGCATTACAAAAATTAAGCACCGCTTGGTGAAGATACATTGGAGGTATGCTGTCCACCTGGTTGCAAGCAAACATTTGTGCGCTTTGCTACATCATGCGGCAACCGACTTCAACTTAAGGTGCTCTTTTGCGCTTGCTCGAAGCCAGTGGCTGCTTCCATGCTCCTGTCTTCACCAATGGATGTAACGGAAGGTTTAGGGGCTCAAGGTAGAGATCTGGCCAAGGCACTGCATTAGGCCAGTGACCAATTCGTCTGGTGAGAGCTCACCTGGCAAAAGTGATGGAGCATGTGAAATGGACCAGCACACACGCACATACAGCTTTATTATGCTTTATTCAGCACATGACCTGAAAAGGCTATTGATATCTACTAATACTACGAGTTCCTGTTTATGATTGATTAGTCGCCGTTCCTACTTAGTCAAGCAAGGGCGACAAAGCTGCAGATTTTGTCTACCTCTCTTCTCATTTCTCTAGACATGCTGTCCGCTAGTGATTCAGCCTAAACACTCCAATCATTCTGCCCGGGCCTCCCATGTCCACGTCCAAGATGTCAAACATGCGGAATTTGTCGGACATGTCCTTGAATCCCCAACTCCATCTCACGAACTCACATTAGAAAGCGTAGGGGCGCAGCTACTCGGCTTTGGAAGCTTTCTGAAAACATTGCAGCTATGGCACCACGTCAGCTTCCTCCAACATTGTAGTGAATTCTGCGTCTTGCAACCATAAACTAAACCTGCAGAAAGAAGAAGACAAACAAAAAAAGAATTTGGCAAGGAAACAACACAGTTTTATAGTATATAAAGGGAACCGTTGGCACTGTTGTCGCATCACTCGGACATGCAGTTTCAGCTTCCGCTTGCGGCTGCGGCGCATCTCTCTGGAGATCGAGACCTCTACGGAAAAGCAAACATTCTTGTGAAATTGGTGATAATGAACTTATGTTTTTAAGCATTCTGCCACCAAAAGAATAGGCACCTTGTCCTCTTGCAAAATCCGATAGGTAGCCTCGGCAATTTTCTTCTTGGTGGCCTCCGGCAATAATCGGAAATATTCGGAACTGGGAAACAGAAAGTATGCACAGATCAGAAAAAGAACCTGGTCGCTGTAGTAGTCATCAGAAGTGAGGGATGAGAGCTTCCTTCACTGATCAAGCTGCGCTTGGATTGACCAGAATTCTCCAAATTGTCTGATGTTTGACTGACTCGGCTTCCAGTTACATCCAAGCTGCTGCCGGGCTGAATTTGAAAGACGACTAAAAAGGCCACGCTGAGATGCTGCAGTTGTGTCTTCACAAAGAAACCTCCATGCAAAGCTGTACAGTCTTGAATGGGCGAGTGTGATATTGTGCTTGAACATTCTCAGTGGCTGGTTCGAAAAGGGTGGCAGTTGTTTGGAATGTTTATGAGGAATATAAGTTTAGTATAGATTAGTTTGGGATAGTTTGGGGCAGTCTCGCCTGCGAAATTGCAGCTTCAAGTCCGTGCAAACTGCCGCAGAGGTGTCGCCTCAGGATTCTGCTGTTGTGTCCAGAAGTGAGGACTCCCATGCTGAGGAGGAGACCTATCTCCTTCAACTTCCGTTGGCCTTGTGATTTTAGTACCTCAGGGCACGAACAAACTTGAATGTAGACCACTCTATGCCGTCCTCGCATCTCAACATTCTTCTCTCCAAGCGCGGTCGAGATTCATTGTCAATGAAGACAGCCTGAGTGGAATTCAATGCAATACATGAACAAGCATCAATACCGAAATAATTCCCAACTACACTGTCCCATCTCAGCTTGGGACCATGATAAGGTTGGTAAAACCCACCTTAGTCCAGCAGAATCAATGGACATTATGAGGCTATACGCTACTAAAAATTTATTGCAAGCTCTTTAGGAGAAGAATGAGGCCACTAGACTGGTCACTAGGGCCACTAGGGCTCGCAAATGCTCGCAGGCCGAAGCGTCGAGAGAGTTCAAGAGATAAGGTGGAAAGCCAAGGCTCCAATCTAATAGCAACAGCCTCCAACCTAATAGCAACAGCCTCCAACCTAATAGCAACGGCCTCCAACCTAATAGCAACAGCCTCCAACCTAATAGCAACGGCCTCCAACCTAATAGCAAC